TGGTTGAAATAATTATTTTTACTCAACTATAGTCCTTACAGATACAATTTTATTTAATTTTTATGTGCGATTATTTTTTAGTTATTTTGAGTTTTTTTGAGTTCCATTAAAAAAAGCTCATCTTAGGAAACTGGTTTCCTATGATGAGATGATTGCGTGTGCTGAAGATAACGCAATTTTTGGTATAAAGAATTATAATGATGAACTATTTATTTATATTTTTTATAAAAGAAAAGATTAAATTATGATAATCTGTAAAAATAAATGTAAATATTATTATATTTCGGCTTCAACAAAACAATAGGCTGTTAACATGCTCAACATACGCATCTTTTCCTTACCCTAAGGGCATTTGTTTTTAAAATTTGCGTTTTAAATATCTTTTAAACGTCTTTTAAACGTTCTTTCCGTAAGAATGTTTAGAAGACGTTTAAAAGACATTTAAAATACATTTAGAACGTAACTTTTACCAATAAATGCCAGCTGGTTATTAAGGGTTTGATATATGCGTATTGTAATTTTTTATTAGTATATGGGTGGTACTTGTACTTTGAAGTTTTATTCAATACTAAAACTAAAAAAAAATTATTTCTCTAAAACACTAAAACCGCCTAAAACGTATTTTCATTATTTATAATAAAATCTTAAATTCTAATTTATATGGGATTGTTTGTTGTATTCTAACAGGTTTCTTGGTTGTTTTCGAACTTACGCAATGTAATAATATTCTTACTATTATTATTGTTATTATCATTATTACTGATATTATTATTATTATTATTATTATTGTTATTATTATTATTATTATTGTAGTTGTTATTTTAACATAATATTTTACCGTTAATTAAAAATTGCCATGCAAAGATTAATACTCAATGCAATAATACATTATTAATATTGATATTATTATATTGTTGGCCGGAAAAAGAAGAGAACATTGATTTTATCTTGTCTGCGAGCACAGTGTTACAAAATCATTATTTTCGTTTTATCTCCGAGCTCAGTGTTACGTTTCATAATTTTTTTACGAAGTTCTCACTAAATATACTATATACTGAAACCCAGTGGACAAGGACGTAAAAAAGATGTCATATAAACGTTTTATACACGTTTTAGACATCTTTTGAACGTCTTTTGAACGTTTTGGACGTCTTTTGAACGTAAAAAAGACGTCTTTTTTGGTCCGGTGCCCATTGGGAAATATATGTTTATAAAAATATAAAATTGATGTTTATAAAAATATCAAAAATGAAGTAAGATTTAAGTATTATCAATAAATGGTATAAATAAATTTAAGAAAATGTAATAAAATGTGTGATAATGTTTTTTATTATTATTTATTTTAATTATTATAATATTTTTTTTTAAATGTTTTAAAATTTTCTTTCAAAAGTTTTCAAATATTTTTCTTTAACTATTATGTTAGTTAATTTAAAACATTTTAAAAAATCTTTATTTATTTATTATTTATTATCTATTATTTAAGTACGATGTTAGTAGTAATATAAATTCTTAACTCAATTGATGAAAATAGACTTTGGGTGATTTTATTAATTTTAGTAAGGCTTTTGACTCACTCAATCATATTTTATTTTCCAGATTAGCAAATTTACTACTTTATAAAATTGGTAAGTTTACGTACTTTATAAAGTACGGTATTAAACATACAAGTTTGAAATGGTTTAAGAGCTACTTGTCAAACAGCCAGCAATATATTTCTTATAGATATGGAATAACTAAAAGTATGGATATAACTAACAACATGTAGATCTATAATAAAAAAATATTTTTATTAAATTTATAATGAACAATAGAGATTATTAATGGAAATTATTAGACTCCTGTTTGCTGATGATACAATTCTATTCTATGCTTATTAGGATAGAAAAATGTCGTTTAATTCAGTACATATAGAACTCCTAAATCTTGCTGAATGGTTTAGAGCAGATATATTGTCAATAAATTAATTAAAACATTATATATACTTTTTTCCATTGCTATCATATGCTAGACAAAGCTCCTATAAATTTACCAATCTTTGTATTCAGGATTGCGATTTAAAAAAAGAAAGTCTCACTAAAATTTCTTGGCGTTCTTCTTGATGAAAATATAATATGGAGAGGTTATATAAAGTATCTGTAAGGTAAAATCTCAAAGAGGATTGGCCTGATTTATCGGGCAAAATTCACTTTGTTTAAAAATCTTATATTTCTCCTTTGTTCGTTGTCATCTTAATTACGCTAACATTGATTGGTGGACCACCAATAAAAATAAATTGATTGGTGGAGAACTAATAAAAATAAATTTAAAAAAAAACTCTTTAATATGCAAAAACACATAATCAGAAATATATACAATAAAATTTTACACATTGGCAACCACTATTTTACTAAATTAAATATACTAAATATTTAGCAAATATATAGTATATATATATATATTTTTTCGATTTTAAATTGGTTGTAATCATGATTGTAAAACAAAAAATATTCATTATAGAAGTTACTATAGATGACGCCCTAAACATATTATTGATATATATTAAAACAATAAATACCCTAAGTTGAAAGAACCATTTCTAAAACACTCATCAATGTGCATTTTTCACCCTCCTCGAAACAAAGAAAGGGAGTGATCGTAACGTTTACATCATAACTTCATAACTTTTGAACACTAAAAGATTATTAGATTAAATTAAAAACCAGACGATTAGTTTAAACTTTGTATGAGATAGAATGTTGTAGGAGTTATATGAGAGTAACTTTGTATGAAAAAAAAACGAGTTGAAATGTCTTATTTACTCATTACAATCACATTCGGAATTGGAAATTCGAAAAATTTAAATTCGAATATATATATATATATATATATATATATATATATATATATATATATATATATATATATATATATAAATATATATATATATATATATACATATATATATATATATATATATATATATATATATATATATACATATATATATATATATATATATATATATATATATATATATATATATATATATATATATATATATATATATATATATATATATATATATATATATATATATATATATATATATATATATATCAAATATATAAAAGCTTAAGACTCTTAAACGTTGAAAAAAATCCTAACATATAATAGGATTATTTAAAAAAAATTTTTGTCTACTTTTAATATTTACAAGTATTTTACAACATTTAAAAGTGTTTTTAATAGTTGACGTAATTCAGTTAAACTGCTTGTACGGAAGTCAATTATGGTAAGTATTTATAAGCATTATTTCAACGAAAGATGAAAACTTATACAGTTTACAAAAAAAGTTTAGTTTCCAAAATGATTTCTACGAAAATCTGTATTATTATCACAAACATCATAACTGTCTAAAATAATGACACTTGACACGTGTATTTTATTTTTATATACTTTTTTAACAAACGTTACAAATTATTTTGACCCGGTAGGAAATGAGCTAGCGACTAGCTTTATAGTGATTTTCTAGCGATTTTTTTTCCTATTTTATAATTTCCTAATGTCTTTAACATCTTTAAAAATTCAATTTTTAGTGTTAAATCTATTATAATTATGAGGATAATCAAACTTTAAACATTGAGATTTTGTAACAATGTGTCGCTAGCTACATATCGTAGCTTTGCAGCTAGCTACAAAATATCTACAAATCTATAGCTGGTTGATAGCTACATATCAAATTTTTTTAGACAACGATTTTATTACGATATGACGCTAGCTACAATAGCCAGTGGGTCTTTAGCTTATTAAGCTAGCTGTCCTCTTAACCAAATGTCTGTCTTTATCTTTACAAATATCATAGCTTTTTTCGCTAACTTAAAAAAGCTAGCGAATCTTGTGGCCAAATCGCTGTCTTTATCGTTACGATTATAGCTAGCTATTCGCTAGCCGATTTCCCACCGGGTACATTCTATAAAAGTCTACTTTTAATAAAACAACAACAACAACAACGACAACAACAACAAAAACAGTAAATAATAATGATAATAACAATAGTTATACTTTTTTTTATAATTTAGGTTTATATATATAATATGAGGCTTTACGAAAAATTCTCTCCGGAAAAAATTCCTCGCAAAAAAAAAAATTTTTTTAAAACCTTTTATGAAATTGATAGATTGCCTCCCTAAACCAAAACCGTCAGTGAAAAATGAAGCATTAAGATTTTGTTTGTCATATAGTATATGTATAAAATAGATATTTTATACATACATTATATTTATATTATAAATAACTATAACATTGATATATTGATTGAGGTATACGCTGTAAAAAAAAATCTTTTTTTTTTTTACAGCGTATAAATTATTTCTCTGATTTTTTTTCAGAGGAATTTTTTTTCAGTGGGATTTTTTTTTAGGGGGAGATTTTCTCCTGAGGGATTTTTTCCTGCAATAATTATATAGTTGTACTTTTTTTACATTTCAGATTTAACTAAATTTAATACATATATATATATATATATATATATATATATATATATATATATATATATATATATATATATATATATATATATATATATATATATATATATATATATATATATATATAATTTATAAGTTTACAAAATATAATTTAGTATAGTAAAAAGGTCAGAGTTATCCAAATAGTTTAAAATTTTAGGAATTTGAAGTTGCTTAATTATGCACTTATTAGTTAAAAATTAACAAGTTTAAACAGGTTTTTTTTATTCTAATCGAGTAAAAATTGTTAGGTACTGTGATAATCAATGATGTACCTATATTTAAAAAGACAAAGGATAATTACTTTTACGTAGGTTTTAATTTAAGTTACACGTTACTACGAGACGCCGCGATTTTAGATTTTTATCATTGCAGCCAATCAAAAATATTTAAGTATTAATCCTTGTCATTGAATGAAAATATATAAATTTTGGTACAAATAAAAAAAATTTAAATAAAAGTTGTACTTTAACAGAAACAAAAATTCGGGCAAATTTGAAAAAAAATGTAAATACAATTAATTCTTTATTTTTTTTTTACTTTTTATAACGTACGTTATGCGGTACAATTTTATAAATTTTCATTCAGTTTATTTTTGATAGTGACATTTTACGTTATGTATTCAGCATTTAGATAAATTTATTAATTATGCCAAAGTCAAAAGAAACGTTTGTGTACGTAGGCACTCTATACTGACGTTAAGCGTTCTTCGCGTCCGCAAACTCAGATTTATAGAGACAAACTAAGGTATAAAAAGATAATAAAAATTTCTTAGAATTTTAGCAAGTTTAAGAAAATATTTTGAAATAAAATTTTCCATTCATAAATTATTTTAGAATGAAGATTTGTTCTAATACATTTTTTCTATTGATTAGCGCTTAGTTAAGCAATCAAAAAATCAAATCATCATTATTAAAACAACTTATCGATTGCCATTTTTTTTTTCAAATTAATTTCTTAGACTAAGCTAAAATTCTAAAAATATATATTAAATTCGTTTTTTTCTGAGATCTTTTAGAAAACAAATGATCTCGGAAAAAACGAAACCATGAAAATCTCAAAACTTAGTTTACTCTTAACGATAAGTTAAATTTTTTCTTTTTAGGAATATTAATAAAAAGTATCTTAAAAACATCAGCTGTAAAATATTTTGCAGCAAATCTTTCATCATTTGAACTAAGTTAATAACTATGGGGTCTGCTACACAATTTTTAAATGGTAGACATGGTTATCTTGATGTTAAAAATGTAAAGAAGTCGTCATTATTTTTTCAGAAGGTATGTTTAAAGTTGTCATATAATAATAATAATAATAATAATAATAATAATAATAATAATAATATATATATATATATATATATATATATATATATATATATATATATATATATATATATATATATATATATGTATATATATATATATATATATATATATATATATATATATATATATATATATATATATATATATATATATATATATATATATATATATATATATATATATATATATATATATATATATATATATATATATATATATATATATATTCTGGTATCTAACATATTTGGATTTAACATAATGCAAAAATTGTAATAATTGCTCTAAAAAAATCATAAAACAAAAGAATATAAAAGTTAAAATGGGACCTAAATTAATAATGTAGAAAAAAAAGTTTTTAAATTAATAAAATTGAAATATCAATTGTAATTCATAATATTTCTATAAAAAAGTAGTTTGATGGTGTTTTTAGTACACTTTTGTAATTATAAAAATTTTAATTGATTAATTTAGTTAGTTACAGTAAATGATATTTTTATTCGGGGTTGTGCATAAAAATAAATTAATGTGGAAATATAAACTAAAAAAATGCGGAAATATAATTTAAAACAAGAAAATAAGAATAAGAAAATATAAATAAGAAGACATGAAACTAAAATAAGAAATTCAAAAAAACATGCAATATATTAAAAAAAACTTATTCCTTGAGTTTTTCTTCATAGCTTTATATTTTCATTTTTATATTTTTTGATTTTGATTTGCTTATATTAATTTATATTTTCCCATATTTTAATTTATGTTTTCTCATAACTTAATGTATATTTTCGCATAACTTAATTTATATTTTCATATAATTTAATATATATTTTTGCGTAACCCTGTAAATTCAAGTTATTTTCAAATAAACAAGTTTTGTAAATACATCTTCGAAATATCTTTTTAGACTTGGTACAAAGCATATTTTGTTTTGCGTTATGATCCGATTGCTCTTGAAGAATACGAAAATGATTTGCTAACAGGCTCGACTAAATCACACAATGTTGGGTCTTTTTTACTTGTTAAAATAGTTCGTAATTTAAAATCTCACCCGTATGTCTTTAAAATAACACTTGAAACTGAGAAACTTTATTTTGGATGTGATAGTCTTATTTTGTTAGATGAATGGATAAACTCGTTTTTACTAATGAAAAGAAGTTTACAATGTGCCTTTTCGCTAAAGAAAAATTCTGAACAAGTTGCAAAACCTGGTAATGAAGTTTATTCGTTTTATTTTTTTTGCAGCAATTTTTATAATAGTAATTTTCAATAAAAATTTTTAAAATTAAAAACAGTATTCATTATTATCTTCATAAAAGAACTCAATTTATTTATAGAAAATTTCCATGTTTCTATCATTGAAACAAAATTGTCGGAAAATATCGCTTTGAAGGGATCGTATTTTATGTTTATAAACCAATCACAAGTTTCATTATATTTAAATACTGGCTCCGATGAGATACAAAGATGGCCTTTAAACTCTATATTGTATTTCTCCAGCCGACCAAATAATAAAGAACTTATTTTACTGGTTGGAAAGTAAGTTTATTTTAACGTTGTCTGTATAACAAAAAGTATTAGCATAGAAACTTTTAAATTATCTTTATTCGTGAATTTAGAACACGTCATTCTGAATGTGGAGAACTCAGGTTTAAAACAAGTGCTTGTGAAAATATTCATAGTTTAATAAACGATTACAAAGATAGAATCATATCAAAGAGTAAAAACATATATACTCATGATTATGATAATGAAGTTGGCATAAACACAAACAATTTTTTTAAAAACGAACACTACAAAACTATATGCAATGCAACTAATGGTTTCAATTATAGTAATTGTTATTCATATTATAACCGTGATGAATATTTTATAAATACACAAAAAACTTGCAACAACATTTTTCCTGACTTTTCTAAAGATGATGAAGATAACGGTTACATTAATGAGAATCGTCTAAATAGTAATAAAAAGTTTTACGTACAATATTGCGTATCAAATTCATCTTTTTCAAATTACGGAAACAAAAAAGATACTTATTACCCTCAAAATGATAAATCTTACGTAAAACTCAAAGAACACTCTAAGTTAAATTTATTTAAATCTGGTTTTACTAATTCTTCAAAGTATAAAAAACGTGTATCTGTGATAAGGAAAAAGTCTTTAATAAGTAGCTCACCACACAGCTCACCTGAATTATATATTAAAAGGAATTCACGTTGTTTAAGTAAGCCATATACAGTTAACCATAATGTTTGTAATGTTTCAAGACAATATAGGAGGTTTAATGTGATATGTCAAAAAGAAACAAACTTTTGTGAAAAAAGTTGCAAAAAAGCAAATAACTTAAAAGAATTTCAAGAACTTCAAAAATTCTTATCGAAGCAAAAAAGTCATTTTAAAAATCTGCAACAGCAAATGTTGGTTTTAAACAGAAGTTCTCCAAGCACAAAGCATAAAGATCATTCAAAAGAAATAATTCCAACTACCAATGTACCTTTTCCTACTACTAACGTACCTCTTACTACTATCAATGTACCTCTTACTACAATTAATGTACCTCCTACTACTACCAATTTTCTTCCTCTTACTTCCAATGAATCTCCCACTACAACAAATGTACCTCCTTTTGTACCAGAAAGAAATCCTAGTCCAAATCCTATTTCAAAAAAAAATTGCATAGAGTTAAATAATTCAAAAGAGAATTGTGGCGATGTTAAAAAGATGTTTGAAGCTAATAAAATGGATCTTATACCTTTGTCATCTACTTGCGCGAATCAGCATATAAATACCCAACTAGCTGATTGCGTGGGCGAACCAGTAAATACACATCCTACTTGTTGTGATGATCAGAAAGTAAACATACAATTAACTTCCTATTGTTCATTCCAATTTCACTTGACTATTAATAATGTGTCGTATAATAGTCCGATTTCTTCTCCTTATCATTTATCTATTCCAACGAAGGTGAATGAAGAGATTAACAACTTCAACAATGATGTTACAAGTGCATCTGTGACAAAATTTATGCAAACAAATATTAATTGTTTAAACAAATTAGAGGAGAAACATTTTTTACCTAAAACATTAGTTGGACCAACTACGTCTCAGTTTCCTCCTGCAAAAAAAAAGTTTATTTGGTTAGATTAAAATGGTTTCAAAAAAATAATCAAAAAAAAATCTTTACATTAGATTAATTCTTTTTTTGACTTAATCAACATTATAATAATCATAAATATAATATTAGAATTTAATGTTTTTTAGAAGATTGTTAAGTATACGTACTTTACTTTAATATATAAATTAATATTTAGACGAGAGTTTAGAAATTACATATTGTATAAGTTTAAAAAATATAGTTGAATATATTTAATATAATATAAAAAAGGAGTATATAACAATCGTAAGTAAGTGAAAGTTTGCGTTTTTGCAAGTTTGTAACAGAAACATTTCTGATTGCAAATCTTCAATTAGTAGATAAGTTTAAACTGGCCAGCTTGTACACCAACGCGTACACCATCGGGTATACCAAAGCATGTATACCAACGCGTGCAAGTTTATTAATTTTTATTTAATATAAAAATAATAAAAATGATAAACGAAAGATGAGCTCATATTGTTAGCACATCCGCAGATAAATTTAAATTTTAGCACCTTTTTTAAAATAAAATATTTATCATGTGGTTATTTTTAATGAACTTATTTTTTTTGATTGATGATTAAATATATTTTGAATTATTTTGTGTTATTTCTCCTTTTAAACGGTAAAAAATAAAAAATAGAAATTGTGTTTAGAGAATCCGACCAACGAAATCTTGAGATTTTTATTTGTAAAAATTCAGAAAACATTTTTATTTGAATTTAACACCTTTGAAGAAAAAACATTCAAAAAACAGTTTGTAAAACAGTTGTTACCAGACGTGAAAAAAAAAAAGGTTATTAATCTATAACAACAGTTGTTACAAAAATAGTTGCTCGCAATCTATTGTTTGTCAAAACCATGTTTTGCATCTTAAAATATATGAAGACTCTACAAGAAGAAACGTTGTGGTCACACTTTTTCATTTTAAAAACTCGTTTTTTAACTATTGAACCTATATAACTTTTTAATTTTTAGGAATGAGTAAAATTTTGCAAAAATAACCAATTTCCCTTGAGTTTAAAATTGTGTTTTCCGCATAAATTAAATATTGACCATATAATATATAACAGTCTACATATACAATGTAATATAACAGTTTTGGGGGTCAAATAAAAGTTTAAAATGTGTCACAAAACTGTATGCGTTACATTTATTTATTGCGCAACAGTTATATAATGAAAAATTTATTTCCTGAAAGCAAAGAGGACTTTAGAGTTTTATGGGTAGTTATGTAATAAACAATTTATTATTGTTGTTGTTGCGGCAAAAGAATAAAAAAGTTTTAAAAGGAAAAATTAAAAGGAAAATCAAGTAAACAAATTAAATATATAATTTTCAAGATATATTTAAAAAAATCAAGTAAAAACAAAATTTAAATAAAAAAAAGCCTATTTATTTTTTTATTTCCAAAATCAATATTTTTATGAAATAACTCGACAACCTTCTGATTCGAGTAGCCGTGACGCAGCGGTAGCGCATTTGCTTCAGAAACGTAAGATCCGTGGTTTAAACCCAAGTTTTGAGACATCGTTTGGGAAGGAGGCGTGAGCTTTGTATTAAATCCTCTTCCACGGTGCTCTCTGATAAGACTGTAAGGACTTCTTGGGGAACCTAAAAATAAATAAATAAACAAAAAAAGGTAAAGAATCGTAAAACTCAATGTGAACTTTTATTAATACTTTAAGTCACTGTACTTCACCAAGAGATAAAAGGTTTTATTTCAGGAGATACAAGGTTTTGGATTATATAGAACTGGGATCTCACCTTTTATTGTGTAATTCAATTTATTTTTTTAATGTGTTGTATACAATAATCAATTTCACGAATCACGGTGAAATAGAATGCCATTTGAGTCTCGACTGAAAAAAGTTTCACGATATGGACAAGTTGGAATTGGATATTTTTTTTGTATATCAATGTATCATCTTGTGTTTTTGAAGTAACATTTTTATGCAGCTGAGTTATTCTTTTTTTCCCTTATAAAACTCAAAAAGATAAAGATCAAGGCTTTAAACCGTTCTTCGAGTTCCTGCATTTACAGCCTTTTCACTTTCACACTATAAAAATGCAATTTCACAATATAAAAATGGATGCCATTATCGCCAGATGAAACAATCTCATGCAATTTAAAACCCCTGTGTATCTGGAGAGTATTTAAAATTTGTTTTGTATTCTAATATGTTTCAGAACATCAACAGCCATAGAAAAAAAACTTCACACGTTGTACGCCACACCCTTGTGCCAGATTCGCTGCATTTACCAGTTTTTATCAACGTTTTTATTATCAAACTTAAGTTAAACTGAACCATCGTAACAACTTCTTACAATTAACTTAGGATCTGACAATAGGTTCGTCACCTATGAATGTACAATTCTCTTTCTAGTAGTCTGGTTAAGAATAGGAATTTTTTTTTTCTGTATTCTCTGTTTGAAATATCAAGATTTATTGAATGAAGTTTTCATAAATGTTTCAAAGGAGACTTTTATATCTCTTTTGTTTTTAGGATCACTAACTCATATCAGAGATTGTTTACAGTTGGCTAAATAAAATCGATAACCTGATGTATTTTATAATCTGATGTATTTTATAATCATTTTTCTTTGAAAGCTTGTTACATTTTACATTTGATTTACTTTTTCTTGTTCCATTTTACATTTGATTTACTTTCAGACCCGTACCAAACTGCCCTGAAACGTCCCCCTCACAGTTGTCATGTAAGCATTTAAGTTGGTACATTGAGCAAGTTTTGAACTATAGTTGACTTCTCCTCCTCTTCATGGAAGACTCCTTTGGGACGGCACTGTTTACTTCTTTATATTTTGCAGATATTTTAACATTATATCCTAACAAATGCAATTAACTTAAGTTTTAACTTTTCTATGTTCTGTATCCATCTGATTGATGAATTCTTTCTTTTTCCAAGCATGTGCATGTTAATTTTGCAATTTTTACATATTTAAGACGGATAGGCTGCAATTTTTTTATATATCCAGAGTATACATAAGTCTGTACCAGTTTTTAATGCTGCCTTGATCTGTAATGATATTCGTTTTAGTTGTTTTTCTTATAATACTATTTATTTTCATTTTTATTTTTCTAAGATTACATTTTTATTTTCAAGAAACATATTAGAATACAATTTTTTTTTTTATTTTAAGATTTTCATTTTCATTTTTATTTTTCTAAGATAAGATTTTCTAAGATTTTATGAGTATAATAACAATTTTTAGGTTTCAGGATTCAGAAACTTTATTTTAAAAAAAAAAAGGATATTAAAAGTTTAAAGGATTAATCACCGAAACTTATTTTAAAAATAATTTAAACAAAATTATAAAATGTATCAAATCATACTATTAGTAAAAACGTTGTTAATAAAACATTTGTTTTGTCAGATTTTGGGCTTTGGGGTCTTAAGTCATCATTTTGTGTAAAAAAAAGTTCAAAATATACGAATCTTAGTACCTTGTACTTTGTACCTTTAGATTATACGAGTCTTAGGTTAACAACAAAGGCAGGGCCGTCCCAAAGGGAAGGCGAAGGGGGGAGATGTTTAATCTCCGACTAAAATTATGATTAAAATATAGTCGTCAATTTTGAACACTGTTCTTAAGTCTACAAATATCAGTCTACAAATATCAGCCAACGAGGATCTTTTTTTTGTTCCTTTTTTTTTCTTTTTTTTTTTAAACCGAGACTGCAAAGTATTTTTTTTAGTCTTTAGTTAGCCAAAATCCAGAAAAGTCACTCCACCCCCACCTCTCCTTTTAAAGTCTCTTCTGGATGGACCCCTCGGCCTTGAGAAGGTAAATATTAAAAAAAAAAAAATTGACATTGCGAAATGCTCTGTTTTATAAAAAAAATATCATTTTTATAGATCTTTTTTATATTTTATTATCATATTTCAATTATATAATCTATAATATGCATCTATAAAGATTTACAAGATTTACAAAAAGAAGTTTACAAGATTGCGGAGATAGTGAACTTGAAAATGTTCAATTTTTAAAAATTTATTTTTTTTGATTTTAAAAACATCAAATGTTAAATTTTTAAAAATTTTATTTCAAAAAACATTTTTTTGATAATAAATTTAAAAAGTGAATACTTTATGATTTTTTGTTAAAGACAAGGTTATTTTAAAAAAAAACTTGTTCTAAAAGACAAACAGATTTTAAATAACAATATTCACTCGAAAAAAAAAACATTTAAAGATCACATTCAAAATACGCCATATTTTCATACTCGGTGAAAATATGGTGTATTTTAAAATAAAAAGATGTCATTAAGTTAAATAAAAAGATTCATAAAGTAAGTGACCAACCAACCATGGTTGGTAACCATGGATACCAACCAAAAAATTATTTATATTAAAAAAAAAAGGTTATAAACAACGGTTGCACAAACAAAATATTTGTGTTTCTCGTATTACACATTTGTGATTGTGACTCACATATGTGCAATATATTATCATACACTAATAATAATAACAATAATAATAGTTATATAAATGAAAAAAAATCTTTAAAAACAAAATTAATAGAGAAGCAAAGAAACTTTATCTTTAAAAGATTACTAAATACGAGAGAAATACGAGCATAATACGAGTAAAATACAAACAAAGTACGAGTAAAATAAAATCTTAAAATCACGAAAAATATATAAATATTTCTTAACTATATGATCAAAGTTACAAAAATCATAATCCAAAGTTATAAAAATAAACTACTCCTAATCTTTGTTTTTTTCTGTTTCAAAATCATCAAATACTCATTTGCTCACTCAAGTGCTCATCTAAAGGTGAGCTTCCATTCATCCGTTTTTTCGCGGGAACGGGAAAGGAAAGGAAAAAACAATCACGTGGGCATGCGTATTATAAGTTTTAATTTGTCCGAAGTAAAACTGCGCATGCTCACGTGATTATTAAAAAAAAAACAGATGAGTGGAAACTCACCTTAAGGTTCGTAAAGTATTTTACGTAATTTAACACTAAGGCTGTAGCCGTTATTTGATAAGTTAAAAACTCGTTTTATTTTAATGTTTACTATCATCATTTTTAATATAACAATAAAAAATGTTGAATCATTTTGTGAAAGAAGGTCTTAAAGATCTTGTTGTAACAAATTTCAATATTTAATATTTCTTTATCAACATCAGAATTTCTAAAAACATTAAACATTCGGAAAGTTGTTTGAGGTTTTTATTCAGTTAACCATACATACAAGAGCAATCAGAATGCACTTTCAACCACATGACCGCTAGTCATGTGGTTAATTGTCGTAGTTAATATAGCGGTATATTTTAAGGAATTTTAAGCAAAAAAATTATTTAAAAAAATTTAAGTGAAACTAGACGAATACAATATGAAAATATATATATTATTTTTTAACTATTTGATAGACTGCCTGCCCAAACCAAACCCTCAGTCGATATAGCAGCACTCCGTTACGAGTCAGGCTGTAAGATGTAGCAACACTCCGCGCATGTGTTACAGTTAAAAACAAAAATTTTATTTTAAATAAAGCTTTAAAATAGATAATTAAGAATTGGAGAGTTTTATTATTATTATTTTTATCTTAAAAATAATGGTC